TGCCAGATGGTAGTTGTGAAATTTATGAGGCTTTTCAGTGCTGGGACTCAAACTTTTGTTGTTCCATCTGAGAATTCTTTTGAGTGTTAAAAGTAGGCTAGAATGACTAGGCTAGATCTGTACTTGTCTCTTTAGAGCACAGGTTTACCATTTTGCTCTTATACACTGCGCCTTCCCTGTTGTATTTAATATTGATTATAAAACTGCCTGTTTAGCTCACTGTGGAGGCTGTTGTAGAAGCAAGCTTGTTCTCAAAAGTAAAATGTAGGGCCTTCTAGGACTTACTTTTTGCTGTGACTTCTGTTAGAAAACAACATATTCTCCAGATGTCACAGAATGGGAGCAAGATAGAAGCTGATAATGTTGCATTAGGTTCGGTCGCTTTTTTTAATTCCCCATCCGCCCCTCTCTCCTTCCTTCCTTTTGCATCCAAAAAGCTATGAGTCCTGTTAGAGTGGGAAATAAAAAAGGGTGACTATTCAGTTTATTTTTGAAATCAGTTATGAAAGCTGATTTTAGAGAAAATAGAATCAGAATTCTATGATTTTAATGGAAAAATAGAAGCGGATAACAAGAAGCGGCAACCTGGATGTATATTAGAAAAGGGCTAAGTAACAAGTCTAACTGAACGATCACCAGGTGGCAGGGCTGGTTTTTGTGTGCATGATTTTTTGTTTGGTTTTGCTTTTGGTTTTGTGTTGGCTTTTTTTAACACTTGAAAGGTACTTAAGTGCTGCAGGCTTGTATGTAAGCTGTATTGGGTCAGAACAAAGGCCTGTCTAGCCCAGTAGGATGTCTCTAGCAGTATCCATGGTCAGGTGTCTAGGGAAGAGTGAAAACAGAAAGCATCAAAAATTGATCAGCAAAACCAGACAGTGTTTATATCTTTATCTGCAAAATTAATTTCTGTTGTCTACTGTAGTATTTGTAGTTTTAAAGTTAGGCATGAGTTATTTTCAGGTAAACATCGATTCAGCTCTGGTCTGTTGGCATTTTGAATGACACGTTACGAGAAGGTTTGTTAGGTTTTGCTTATGATTATGATTCGCATGAAGGTAGTCTGTACTGGCAGTTTTGGGGTATGCGAATCTGGAGTTTAACAGTCAAATGGTATCCTGTCTGTGTGTGAATTTCTTTTGTTGTTCTGTGTGTTGCTTAAAAAAAAATAATAAAGATGCAAAAAGCCATAGATCTATCGACAGCTGCTTATGTTCAGATGTGTTATGAAAGATAACCAAAGTCTGGGTAATTTGAAATGTAACTAGAATCTTTTATAAAAATAGAAAACATGAATGGAGGGTTTTGAAGTCAGCAATAATTAGTTTTCCTCCTCCTGTTTGCACAGGTGAAGATGTCCTCTGCAGGTACTTCAGTAATGAAAGAATACCCCCAATCATTGAAGAAAGCCCCTCCACACAACACCCCCTCTCAAGGCCAGTGTCTGACAAGCAGTTAGTGAGAGGAACGGATTATATTCGAGGCAGCAGGTGTTTTATGAATACAGACCTCCACAACAGTGCAACAATTCCTTTTCAAGAGGAAGGTGCTAAAAAATCCTCTATTACATCGTCCACAAAATCTTCCTCCGCAGAGCCCTCGCTGCTGGTCAGTTGGATCACGAGACTGAAATTGTTGACTCATTGACTATTGTTCACAGGACTGTTACCAAGTGCCTTTGCTCATCGGTCAGACTTCTCTACTTTTCAGCTTAACTGATGCATAGTGACTAATGCGGTGTTCTTTGGAGAATCTTACATTTTTCCTTTTTGTTTGTAATTTTCAGTGGAGCAGAGAGTTTCATAGTGCAAGGAGGGAAGAGAGATAAAGACCAAGTTCCTCTTTCAGGCCAAAAGCTGAGGGCATTTATTCCCCTGGAAATGAGTAAAATTTCCGTGATGTAGAGGCCGTTCGTGACCTGAAATATGCATAATGACTCAGAGGAAATAATTGCATTACTGTAAAGTCCAGTGGCACTTCAGTTGTCTGAATGCTCAGAGGCTAGTGTGACTGACAGGGTGTCAGAGTATGTAGAGCTCAGCACAAGTTGTGTAACTCTCCTGACCAGGAAAGATAAGCAGGGAAATAATGGTTTCATGCAACTCAGTGATGCTGTTGCAAGTACTGCATGAGGTCAGCCTTGTGAGGAAGAAGTAGTGTTGCTGTTCTTTCTCTGATATCCAGAGATCTTAGGAAGTCTTAGGAAGAGAGTTCTCTTATTCAGAAAACTTAGGAAGTTGAACTAATTTAAATATAAATCAATCCAACGTGATATATAATCCATTTTATTGAAATCACAGTAGAAATAAAGAGTGCTGAAGAACTACAGTGCTCATCTGTAAAGATATATGGATTGCTACAACATGCCAAGGAAATGCATCTGTACAGGTGGTAAAAGAATGTATTTTTTTTTCCTTAATTGTTTAAGAATGATTTGCTGTTAACCAAAGTAAGCTTTTAAAGACAGTCCTGTTGGACTTATGAGAACTTTTACAGTGGTTCAGTTTTTGAATGGTGTGTTGTTTTTATGAAAAATACGTGCTATGATACATTACAATTGTAAGACATCTTGCTATTTTCTATATAGCTTGAATTTTTCCCCCTCCGGAATTTTAAAGTAGCATTGGGTATTTTGGGAGGAAAATAAAACTTGTTTAACGAAAGAAAAGATATTAAAGAGGTATTGTTTAAAACTGAATGTACATAAGATTGTTAGTATGCAAACAGTTGTGTTTAATTTAAATGTTAAATATAGTTGTATATATTTTTTTACACTTAAACAGATACAATTTGTACCGTCTTGTCTGTGGTACTGGACACAGATTAGTCAAATGAAAAGAAAAAAGAAGTCTCTTGTATTCCCTGCTAATTTTAAGACTAACTATTTTCATAGATCATACGTTGCCAACAGCCTTTACTCCTTTGGTCTTGCTGAAAAGAAGAATTTCTATTTTATTATTGATGGGGAAAAAAGAGTGCTAGTTTGCACTTTGGACTGGGGCAGAAATTGTATGTGATAATACCATAACTCTGGTTGTGAAGGTGTGACTCTTCTGCAGCAACAAGCTTATGAAGTTGTGCTGCAGGTATGCAGGGACAGGGTGTTAAATTTGGTTATCGATTACGTTCTGTTGTGACTCACTGGTCATTTAGGTGGGGGCTGGTTTGGACCCTTGTGATCAAAGCAGATTACAATGTGTCTGTTTTCTGGCACTCTTCTCTCTCCCACCCCAAGATGGCAGTCTGTACTAGAGATGTGGTCAAATGCAGCTGCAGTGCAGTTGAACCCTGGAGCAGTTTGGTCCTGCCTCCAAGAAGAAAGCTGAAACTGCCATGTTGTAGGCACTGTGGTGTAGTATAGTCCAGCCCCAAACTGACTGAACTGTTTTAAATTAAATCACAGTTACTGAGCTAGATTAAAGCCAGAGATGCTGTCTAAACAAGACTTTAACTTGGAACTTTTGCTCATCTTTAATGTCCTGTTTTTCGTGGTTTAAAAATGAATGGGGAAGCATCATGCATATTGATGTGGAAGAAACTATGGATGTACTCGGTCTCTTTGGTTTGCACCTGGGCATGCTTTTAAGACACTGAAAAGTTTGCTTCCTTTGTTCAGTTAGGTTTTCTTGAAGTTTGATCTGCAAGTAGTGAAATAAGCTTCCTCTAATTTAACAGGTAGCTTTAAATCACTGCAGCTATGAGGAAAGAGGAATTTGTAAGCATTAGGCAGAACGAAACTTTCAAAATCTGCCTTCTTGCCTACAAGCTAACCCTCCCCCCAAAAAAAAACCCCAAAAATCAAACAGCCAACCCAACCAACCAATGTCCTCTCCATGTTTATCCTCTCCATGCTCTAGTGTCCTAACAATGGTGACTTAAGGTACTGAATTTTACCTTTTGTCAGTCAGTCAAAAGGATGTCCAGTAGCTGATTGTCCAGGGAAAGGGTTGCCTGACTCGTATGAACAGGGGAAACAAGTATTTTTCTGGAAATTACCAGGAGTGTTATTGCAATTTCTCAGAATCACAGAATGGTTGAGTTTGGAAGGGATTTCTGGAGGTCATCTAGTCCGACCCTGCTGCTCAGGCAGTGCCAGTTGTCCAGGAACATGTCTATAGAGTTTTTTAATATTTCCAAGGATGGAAACTGCACAACCTCCCTGGGCAACCTGTGCCAGTACCCAGTCACCCTCACAGTAAAAAAGTATTTCCTCATGTTCAGAGGGATCCTCCTGTGTTTCAGTTTGTGCTCATTGCCTCTGGTTCTGTCTCTGGGCACCACTGAAAAAAGCCTGGCTCCATCTTCCTTGCACCTTCCCTTCAGGCATTTAATACAAGTTGACAAGATCCTGATGAGCCTTCTCTTCTCCAAGCTGAACCAACTCTCTGAGAGTCCCAGCTCTCTCAGTTTTTCCTCAAAGGAGAGGTGCTCCAGTCCCTTCATCATCTTGGTGTCTCTTTGTTGGAGATTCTGCAGTAGGTCCATGTCTGTCTTGTACTGGGAAGCCCAGATCTGGACATAGTACCCCAGGTGTGTGGTTTCATGAGTACTGAATAGAGGGAAAGGATCACTTCTCTCAACTTGCTGGCAGAACTTTGTCTAGTGCAGCTGAGTTTCCACTGTAAATTAGCCAAGATCGTTGAAAACATTCATTCATGGTTTCTCAATCAAAAAGCCAAATAACATTGGCTTTTTTGCCCCTCTTGAGCTTTATCCATCATTTGCAGATGACACCAAGTTGGGCAGGAGTGTTGATCAGCTTGAAGGTAGGAACGCTCTACCAGAGGGATACAGACAGGCTGGATAGATGGGCTGAGGCCCAATTGTATGAGATTCAACAAGGCTAAGGGCCAGGTCCTGCACTTAGATCTCAAAAACCCTGTGGAATGCTATAGGCTTGGGGAAGAGTGAATGGAAAGCCGCCTGGTGGAAAAGGACCTAGTGATGTTAGTTGACAGGCAGATGAATATGAGCTGGCAGTGTGGCCAGGAAGGCCAACAGCATTGTGGCTTGTATCAGAAATAGTGTGGCCAGCAGGACTAGGGAAGTGATTGTCCCCCTGTACTCAGCACTGGTGAGGCCACACCTCAAATACTGTGTTCAGTTTTGGGCTCCTTGCTACAAGACAGACATTGAATTGCTGGAATGTGTCCAAAGAAGGGCAATGAAGCTGGTAAAGGGTTTAGAGCACAAGCCTTATGAGGGAGCTGGGTTTGTTTAGCCTGGAAAAAAGGAGGCTGAGGGGAGGCCTTATCACTTTCTACAACTACCTGAAAGGAGGTTGTAGTGAGCTGAGTGTCAGTCTCTTTTCCGAAGTAACAAGTGATAGGACGAGGAAACAACCTCAAGTTGACCAGAGGAGGTTTAGATTGGATCTTAGGAACAATTTCTTCACCAAAAGGTTTATCAAGCATTAGAACAGGCTGCCCAGGGAAGTGGTGGAGTCACCATCCCTGGAGGTATTTAAAAGACTTACAGATGTGGTGCTAACAGACATGGTTTAGTGGTGGACTTGACAGTGTTAGGTTAATGGTTGGACTCAAAGATTTTAAAGGCCTTATCCAACCTAAATGGTTCTCTGATTCTTGATGGACTTTTGGCCATTGTAGTATATGTATGCAGAATAAGTATAGCAGAACACGATATATCTGTTTTTGTTGCAAAAGCCGTATGCTTACTGCTGTGAACTTACTGTGTGCTCAAGTAAGCTACCTTGGTTTCTTGATACTCTTGTCTGCAAGTACTGTTTACTGTGTTGTAAACCTTGTTATGTAATGTATGATGTGTAGGAGTCTTTCTCTGGGAAGCTGACATTTTATTGGCCTTGGCAGACAGGTGGTTTTTCCCCCCTTTCTTTGATTATCAGATGGAAAAGCTCCAATAGCTGTTCTCGATAGTAATAGATAGGCTATTTTGAGTTGCAGTGTGAATTGTAGATATTGGACGCATGTGCTCTTCCCCTGTCTCTCTACCTCTCGTGACTTCTTAATGCAGTGACTTCGCTTATGGAAACATGCAGTTTAACACAGTGACCTAAAATGTGGCCATATCTCTGTTTTTTTGAAACATGAGGACATAAGTGCAATTGAAAGACTTGTGAGAGCAGACTCTACTCTTTCTAATATCTATAAACTAGAGCTTTTTGCTTTTTATGCTAGTAAAATTGATTACCAAAAAGCAAATGCATCAAGAAAACTTAACAATAAAGTAGATAGCTGTAACTTCAAGCACTTGATAAGGTGAATTAAACACCAAACTCCTTTTCCCTTTGCCTGTATAGCTCTCTAACATGTGTAATTTGATCTTCTTCCAAATGTCTGCATCTTTTTAAAGACCTGATCTGATCTTGCTACATAGATTAAGGTATTGGCTGCAAGAATCTCCTCAAATATAAATTTTATCAACTGTTGTTGGGCTTAATGGTTATCATCATTCACTCTAGAAATCTTGATTCAAGGTGCAAATGAGTTTTAATTGACCCATTTTGTCCCTTTTCCTTAGAGAAAGGAAGGAAAAGAAAATTATCTATGGGAGACACATATTCAAAAATTATGTCAGATTCAAGGGGAAGTAACAGTCCCCTCTCTTCCTGCATGGAGCAGGGAGGAGGTCTGAAGAACTTGGGGAAGGCTGTAAATCCATAGCCA